CGGGCTTCGGAGGGGGAGGAGCCCAATGTAATCCCAGGCCCCATACAAGAGTACATCTTCGTGGCGGGAAGTGCCCTGTGGAATACATACGACCGTCTGAGACTTCGCAATCGTGCCAAAATATGATTCCTTGGAATTCGAGGCCGCGGGTCAATGTGACCCTTGCGTCCTCACAAAATTTCAGCGCGCCAGAACACATCTCCTGGACCATCAACATCGCGAATCAACGTACTTGATGCATGTTAACAATCCTACACCGCGCCAGAGCACCATTCCTGAGACTTCCGCCATACAAACGCTTGGAACTATTGTGCACTTTTTCGACGAAATCGCGTAGTGCTACGGCGAGAGCCACATTTTGTAACGACACCACCGTCCATCCTCGAAGGTGTTGCAAGCTTCTACGGCGAATGTGCGTGGCGCCAGTGCGAGAGCCAAATGATGAAAACGAGCCGCCTTTCTTCTTTGAAACTGATGAGAACGTTTAAGACAAGTATGCGCAACTCGAGAGCCTCACTTTTTGAAAGCAACCCGTCCCCCGTCCTTGGGACTATTGCAGAATTCAAGTTTCAGGATCAAGTGTGGGGAGAAATCTCAGGCTAAACGTCCAGCCACCTGAACCGACACGTCTGCAGGTGCGACAGGGGGAACACATTATAAGTACTATGTTGTATGGAAAAACAAATTCCTGGGAGGGTTGTCCGCAGGGGGGTGTCCGGGGGGAGTTGTCCGGTTCCTCGCGGGGTTGTCCAAGGGGTTGTCCGGGCCGTGCCGGTTTGCCAGCGCACGCACATGCTTGAATCATCCATATCATAAGAAGCATGGCGCGGCCAGTCAAACCCAGCTGGAAACGGTGCTTCTCTCCTGCTTCCCCTCTTGTTCGTTCCTCCTCTCTCGCGTCCTCCCGCTCCCGCTCGCAAATCCTCATTGATTTTTGTTCCCCACGAAGCGTGGCTGGCAGGAGTCTTGTAGTTGTAGAAGCTAGTTCCAGCCGCGGGACCAGCGCACAGAGACATGCTCAAAATGAGGAGGTTGTCTTGCCAGTTTCGCTTGAGACTTCCTCGTAACGCTGGGCTCCCGCATGCCCAGACCTGAGGTGCTCTGGCCAGTTTTGCCTGCCATATCCTTGCAAGTTTTGGCTCGGAGATGCCGCCCACGAGGTGGTCCGTCCTCGCAACTTTGGTCTCAGTAATGCCCTGACCTCAGGTGGTCGGAGAGAAGAGAGCCACTGGCGACCCCCAATACAAGGACAAGGCCTTTCCCCCGCACGTCGGATTCTCGATGGGATTGTCCAGGGGGTTGTCACCCGGGTTGTCCGGGGGGCTGTCCGGGGGTTGTCCAGGCGCAATCCTACCCAAGCCCTCTCTTGGGCGTCCTCATTCTTCAGCCTTCAGCCTTCTCCTCATTCCTCAGCGTCCGGCCACTTTCCCCTGCGACATCCTCGCAACTCTGAGCTCGGGGATGGCACGTCCCGAGCTGAGGTTGTCCAGACAGTTTCGCTTGAGACATCCTCGAAACTATGGCTTCTGAGATGCTGCGCGCGAGGTTGTCAAGCCAGTTTTGCCTGAGACAGCCTCGCACGGAATCGGGGGAAAGGTGGCGAATGGTGTTGTCGTTGGAGAAAGCGCGCCAGTGGATGACGCTGAATACACAAGAGGGGGGGTGCTCGCAGAATCCCCCCCCTCCCCCCTTCAAAGGGGAGGTGAGATTTTCGACCCCCCCCCCTTCCCCCCTTAAGGAGGGCGGGGTCCGAACCACCCCCCCCCCTCTTGAAGGGGAGGGGGGGTTCCGGACCCCCCCACCCCTCCCCCCCTTGGCGCTGGAAAGGGGGGGGGGTTCGAACCCTCCCACCCCCTCCCCCCCTTTGCGCCGAAAAGGGGACTGGGGAGCGGGTTTCCCCGCAAGGGGGGGGTTCTGGTTTCGGCATCTTTGATTCTGGTTTCTTGATATTTCAAGTCTTTCCGGAACTGGCTTCACGAAGGCTTCGAGAGGGGGAGGGGGAGGAGGAGGCGGAGGAGGAGAAGGAGAAGGAAGCGGAGGAGGAGGTGAGTAGTGGGTAATGGGTCGTGGTAGTAGTGAGTAGTGCGTAGAGATTACTTAGTGAGTAGTGAGTGGTGCGTAGTGAGTAGTGGGAAGGAAGTAGTGAGGTAGCAATTGTGAGTAGCGAGTAGTGAGGAGTGAGTAGTGAGTTCTGAGTAGTGCATAGTGAGTAGTAAGCAGGGGGTTGGGATGAGGGGTCGACAGTAGCGAATAGCGAGGAGTGAGTAGTGAGTAGTGAGTAGTGGGTAGTGCGCAGTGAGTAGAGAGTAGAGAGTAGTGAGTAGTGAGTAGCGAGTAGGGAGTAGCGAGTAGGGAGTAGCGAGTGGGGATTAGCGAGTAGTGAGTAGTGAGTAGTGACTAGGGCGTTGTCAATGGTGAGTAGTGTGGCGGGAGTAGTCAGGAGTCAATAGTGAGTAGTGAGTAGGGAGTAGTGCGTAGCGGGTAGGGAGTAACGAGTAGTGAGTAAAAATAGTGAGTAGTGAGTAGGGAGTAGTGATTAGTGAGAAGCGAGAAGTGGGTACTGAATAGTGGGTAGTGAGTATGGAGTAGCGAGGATATATTTGTGTGAGTAGTAAGTAGTGAGTCGTGAATAGTGAGTAGTGCGTAGTGAGTAGTGGCTTGCGACTAGTGACTAATGAGTAGGGAGTAGGGAGTAGTGAGTAGTGAGTACTGCGTAGTGGGTAGCTGATATTTTGTATTGGGTGGCAAGTAGCGGGTAGTGAGTACTGAATTGTGGGCAGTGCGTAGTGAGTAGTGATTTGTGAGTACTCAGAAGTAAGTAGTGGATTGTAGTTCGTGGGTAGTGAGTTGTGCTTTCTTTGTAGTGAGTAGTGGGCTGTGAGTTGTGCTTACTGAGTAGTGAGTATTGAGTACTGGGAAGTGAGTAGTGAGTTGGGAGTAGTGAGTAGGGAGTAGTGAGTAGGGAGTAGGAAGTAGTGAGTACTGAGTAGTGAGAACGTAGTGGGCAGTGAGTATCGGGTAGTGAATAGTGCGTATTGGGTAACGACTAGGGTGTAGGGAGTAGCGAGTAGTGAGTAGTACTGTGTAGGGAGAGGCGAGTAGCGAGTAGTGAATAGGGAGTAGTGAGTTGTGGGCAGTGAATAGTATGTAGTGAAGGGGGAGTAGTGAGTAATGGATAATGGTTAGTTGTAGTGAGTGGTGATTTCTAATTAGTGCGTAGTGGGTAGTGAATTGTGTTTAGTGAGTAGTGAGTATTGAGTAGTGGGTAGTGCGTAGTGAGTAGTTTGTAGTGAGTAGTGAGTCGGGAGTAGGGAGTAGTCAGTAGTGGGTTGTGGGTAGTGGGTCGTGGGTACTACAGTGGATCGTGAGTAGGGAGTAGTGAGTAGTGAGGCATGAGTAGTGAGTAGCGAGTTGGGTTTGGGGTTCGGTTTAGGGGTCAGGGTAAGGGTGAGGGCAAGGTTCAGGGGTCAGGGTAAGGGTGAGGACAAGTTCCCTCCCCGCCCCCAAGCCGTCTCGCTCACTCCCACCCGCCCTCCCAACACATACGTAGCACCCGAGTCTGGCCCGAGCCTCAGCATATTCAGCAGTCGTCTTTGGATGGGCAGCTACTGGGGACCAATCCACCTCCGCCGCCGCCGCCGCCGCCGCCGCCGCCGCCGCGCTGCCCGCCGCCGCCGCCGCCGCCGTCGCCGCTGCCCCCAGTGCCAAATCGCCGCCGCCGCAGCCGCCGCCGCTGCCCGCCGCCGCCGCCGCCGCTGCCGCCGCCGCCCCGCTGCGAAATCGCCGCAGCCGCTGCCGCCGCAGCCGCTGCCGCCACCGCCACCGCGCCGCCGCCGCCGCCGCCGCCGCCGCCGCCACCGCGCCGCCGTCCCCGCCGCCGCCGCCGCCACCGCCGCCGCCGCCGCCGCAGCCGCCGCCACCGCCGCCGCCGCCGCAGCCGCCGCAGCCGCAGCCGCCGCCGCTAAGTGTATTATGTATTGTTTTTTGATAGGGATGGCGGGGGGGGGCCGCATCGGGTTGGCTGCGCATGCTCCGAATTTGGAGGCAAAGTGTGTTTTGTATGGATCTTTTACAAAGGATGGTGGGGGGGTGCCCTCATGGTTCCTGGTTGGCTACCAGTCGCCTGGGGGAGGGGGTGTTTATTAATAGGGAACAGGGATGTAGTGTTAGGGGTGGCAAAGGGGCGGGTTCCGGAGACCGGAGGCGCCGTGACGAAAGGGGGGGAGGGGGGGGTCGAATTTGGCGGCCAAAAAGGGGGAGAGGGGGGGTCGGACCTCCCCCCTTTGTGAAAGGGGGGGAGGGGGGGAAGGGTTCCCGACGACGGGTCGGGGAAGGGGGTAAAGGGGGGGGGGGTCCCCGACGATAGGTCGGGGAAAGGGGGGGGTCCCCCCCTTGGGGACATCCAGCGGCGCGCCCTCGTCGTTGGAGCACTGGCTACATTCCGGAACGGGAGCAGTGCTGTCGCCTGAGCGGTGACTACACTCTCGTTTGGGCAGTGAGCTGTCGCCCGAGCACTGGATGTTACTTTCGCCTGAGCGTTAGCCACATCCCTGGTTGCCAAAGGTGTTCTATCCAACGCGCCACCCACACCCCTGGTAGGGAACGGTGCTCTCGCTCAAGCGTTGGCCACACTTACATGCCAGGGCACTTGTGGTCCCCATCTCGGAGGGGTTGTGTGGGTTGTCCGGGAGGTGTCTGGGATTTGTTTGATGCGTTTTTTGTTTCATACAACATAGTAGAAGGAATGGACGAGGAGGAAGAGGAGCAGGAGAGATTGTGGACGAGGAACCAGGGACGAGGGAGGAGTGAGGAGGAGGAGGAGGAGGAGGAGGAGGAGGAGGAGGAGGAGGAGGAGGAGGAGGAGGAGGAGGAGGAGGAGGGAGGAGGGAGGAGGAGGAGGAGGAGGAGGAGGAGGAGGAGGAAGAAGAAAAAGGGGTTGGAGGATATTGGAGTGGGGAGGAGGGAATGCCAGACTCGACTGTTAGCAGTGCCTGAGCGTGAGCGGGAACGATAGCCGTCTCGTCCGCGACGGCTCGGACCCTCTCCCAAGGCCAGTGTGCCTCGGGCTGCTGCTGCCGCTGCCCTCTCTGCTCGTCCGCCCCTGCCCGAAAGAGAGAGGCGCTTGGAGGGAGCCTCCGGGAGAACTGTCGATGGTCAAGTTCTCCCAGCCCAGACCCCTTCGGGCCATGAAAATATTTCGACGGGAGGTTTTGAGGATTTTCGGCCACTGGGGGGACTGCCAAGCATCGACTGCGACTCAGGATGACGAGGTGGTCCTGGGGAATAGGTCGAGACCTCTAGGTGTCGACGTCTTGGACAAAACAAAACAAGATACGAAGTCGGGGGCCTGAGGAGACGCCCAACATCAGGGCCTTTTCTCCGGGGCGCCTAAAACGTGCACCAGTTGCCATTCATGATGGCACACGGAGTTGCTGCCTCCTCTCGCAGAGGCTGATTCTCCCTGGTCCTCCGCTTCCCCCTCGCTCTGTGCCCCGTGCAGTGCTGACTATTGCGCCGCCTCTCCCCCCCCCTCATTCGGCGGGTCTCACTCCGTCTGGGCTCAGCCCCTTCTGATAGGAGATGCGATGCCCATACGAAGTAGGTCCGTGCGGAGTGCTCGGTCTCCGCCCAGGCTTTCTCCGTCCGGCCATAGCCTGTCCGGGTTCATCGTGACGAGCCAGAGTGCTGCGAGCGCTCCTCCGTCGCCCTGCCTCCCTGCCCCCCATGGGCTCTCCTCCCCGATCTGCCCCCGTCTGTCGCCCCGCTCCCTGCCTTCCACTCGGAGGAGGAGGAGGGAGGAGGAGGGAGGAGGAGGGAGGAGGAGGGAGGAGGAGGAGGGAGGAGGAGGAGGGAGGAGGAGGGAGGAGGGCAGCGCCCTCGACCCGCCCGAGGGCCCTGGCGCGGTTCAGAGGAGGAAAAGGTACCCATACCTGCACCCTTTCTCCGTTTTCCCGTTTTTGGGCCTCCTCGGAGGCCCTCGTCGCCACCGTCGGATTCGCCTCGAAATCTTAGTCAGAACGCACCCTGGGGGAGCTCTGGGGAGTAGCGGTATCGGTGCATTTGGGTCTCCCCCAGAAGTGGCGTGTGCTGAGCCTCCTTGTGCGCCCCGCCTGGCCCCGCTCGGCCCCCTCCGCGGGCGCGCTGCCGCGATAGGGCCTCGGTGGCAGGGGCGCTTCTGGCGCGGGTGGCCCTTCCGCCCTCCACGCGAGCGTCGCCATCCCGACCCCGAGATCCAACAGCGCGAGACACCAAAGCATCGCGAGCGATCACGGCCGCAGCCCCATCTTTCTGCGGTTGATGTTAGAGCCGGATCGATCTGTGAGGGTCCCCCCAGGGCCCAAAGTTTGGGGGAAGACCCCGGGCTCGAGCAAAAAAGAGGCGCCAGGATCTCGGGGGAGGTCGCCGCCGCCGCCGGCGCCGTCCGCCGAGTCCCTCGGAACGCCCGTCCGCCGCCTGCAGAGGCGCTCTGGCACTCCAGGGCCATGGAGCGGCACGGCCTCGAGGCCGGCCGGCCGGGCCCCGCCACGGGGGCGGGCGAGAGCTCCGCGGCGAGGCCAGCGGCGAGGGGCCGTTGGCGGCGTGCGGCGGCTGGGGTGCCGCGGCTGCCGCCGGGGGCCTCTCCTCCTGGGGGGCGGTGCACCGACTGTCGTCTGCGATGCTCCGGGGGCGCGGGCCGCTCTCTGGGGCGCCCAGGGGTCCACGCCGGGTGTTCTCGGACCGGTCGGTTCGATCAGCAGCGTCGCAGTCGGTTGCGTTCGGTTCGGTACGCCTCGGTCGGTCAATGTATCGTTGCTGCGTCGCTTCGCCCGTCTGGGCTGCAGGCGGCCTATCGGTTTCGGATCCGCTGCCGGTTCGGTCGGTTTTCGGTTTTGCTGTCGCCGTGCACGGCCTTGGTTCCCGGGCGAGCTGTCAGTTGTGGTCGTTCTAATTAGCAATTCGCCGCTCTCTTCTCGGCTGTGGCCTGTTTAGCCTGCAGGGGCGCGACACGCGAACCGAGAATCAGTGGTGACCCGCCAAATTCGCAGCTGGGGTCGGCCTCAAGCGGACCCTGCGGACCTGGACGCCCAAGGGCCCTGCGCACCCTTGCCTTGCGGCATTCTGGCTGGCCCCGGCTGGGTGTCTCCTGGATGGGCCGACAATCGCCGTCGGCTAAGTTCGGGAACTTTGGGATGGCGTGTCGCTCTGCCGGTTCCGGCCCACCACGCTTCGGCGCGACTCGCTATCCATTTCACGGCCCCGAGGGGTCAACGTCTCGAGCTTTCCCGAGCCCCCCGTTCCGCGGAGCGGAGCGACACGCCATCCGCTTGCAAGGCATTGCGCGTCGCCGGGACCGCCGTTGTGACACGCTAAGCAATAGTTCTCGACCGTCTAAGCAAAAGTTCCTGACCGTAGCAGGACGAGGCAAGGCCAGCTGGAGCCGGCGGCGGAAAGAGGACGAGGGGCGAGGGGAGGATCGGAGGCCCAGAGGCCCAGAGGTGGACATCAGCACCAATATCGGCGGTGTGCCTCCGACGAGAGGAGATGATCCCGATCTCGGCGAAGTTGGTAATTTTCGGACTTCCCAGGTGACCGAAATACTACCACCAGCACCATCTCGGCGGCGAGCCCGGGGGGCAGTGTGAAGGGGCGGGCCTTCTCAGAAGGCTCGGAAGTGCCCCAGCCTAGTGAGAAATTCGCTTAAAGCCTTTCCCGACACTTCTCAGAAGACCAGACTGCTTCTGAGAAATCCCGCCGCCTTCTGATAAGGCCTTCTCCTTCTCCTTTCCCCCCCTCTCTCGCCGCCGACCAGCATCCAGGATCGTCTTTCCCTGCCGGAGGCAACCGCCTGTGCTTGTGCTGGTGATCACCTCCAGGCCTCCAGAGGGCGGGGAGGCCGCCAGGGGCGAAGGCGCCCGCCGGGGCGGGGGTCATGACGCGCGTGCGCCGGGCCCACCTGCCGCCAGGGATGGCGCCGGGGGTGCTCCGCAGAGCGGCCCCTGGCCGAAGATCAGCGAGCGACGAAGGAAAACGGGGTTGTCGGCCCGGCACCGCCGTTGGCGCGCAAGCTGCCCTAAGGTCGCGCGTGAGCGCCCTCGTTTCTGGTGTGGTGTGCCGCGCTGGCGGCGCCCGTAAGCCGTGGCGTAAGGTCGCTATGCCATCTCGCGTGAGGCCCGCTTCTCATCGTCGCCCAAGCAGTCACAGAGGTCAGCGGCACGCCACCATCCCTGGCCAGGGCCATCCTGGGCCCCGGGATGCTGCGCATACGGTCGGGAACTTTGGGATAGCGTGTCGCTCCGCCGGTCCTGGCCCACCACGCCTCGGCGCGACACGCTATCCACTTCCGGGCCGCGAGGCGTCAATGTCCCGAGCCTTTTCCCGAGCCTCCCGTTCTGCGGAGCGGAGCGACGCGCCATCTGGTTGCAAAGCACAGCGTCTCGCTTGGGCCGCCGTGGCGACACGCTGAGCAACAGTTCCCGACCGCAGACCCTCCTGGTAGAGGCCACGAGGCTCTGTGCACCGTCGCTGGGGGCCCGCGGGTGGTGGCGGTGTGCAGCTGCCCCTCCACCGCAGGGGCGGGAGGCCAGGGCGTCCGCGGTGCGGTCGATTCGGCTGCGCCGCAGTCGGCTGCGCCGCAGTCGGTGCGGTTCGGTTCGGTCGGTCACCGAGTCGTGGCCGCGTCGCCGTGCCCCCTCTGGGCTGCCAGCGGCCTGTCGCTTTCGGCAGGTGTCGGTTTCGCTGTCGGTTCGGTGACGACGGCCTCGGGACAGGAGGGGGCCGGCGGCGGAGGAGGGCTCTCCTGCGCCTCGGGCGGGTCGCGGGGAGAGGCCTCGGAGGAGGCCAATTGTGCACGTCCACTGCACCTCTGGACAGCACCGGGCAGGAGCTCTGTGGGCGGCCACGATCGCCCCGCGCAGGCCGCAAGTCGGCCCGTTCCCTCCGGGGGACGCTTCGCGCGTCGTTGGCTCGTTCGTTCCCCATGCCCCTCTCGAGGAAGGAGGAAAGAGAATCACAGGAGGAGGGAGGGAGGAGGAAGGAGATGGACCTGCGTAAACGCCCGATTCCCGAGGCCAGCAGCCGAGGTCGGAGCCGTCAGGCGGGCGCACAGGGAGGGAGGGGGGTGGGTGGGGGGTGGGGACTTGCACAAACGCTCGCTGTCTGAGGCCAGCAGCGGGCGCCCAGGGAGGGGGGATGGAGGGATGTTCGCCGTGGGAGGGGAACGGGTCCTCGAGGAATCGGGTCCTCAGGTATGTCGCCGTGTTCGGGCCCTCGGGGCCCTCCACTGAACCCAGGACTGTCAGAAGACGGCTCAGGATGAAGCCGCTCCCGTTCTGGGGGAGGGCCCCGGGGTCCGTGGACCGTCTCCTTCAGGGCCCGTCTCCCCCCCCTGCTGAGGGGTGGAACTGCATCGTAGCGCACCGAAGGCAGCCGAAGGCAGGGCCGTCCGGCGCGCGCCCAGGGAGGGGGGAGGATAACGGAGGGGGAGAGAGGGGTGGGACTGCACGGTCGCCCCGATCCTTGAGGCCAGCAGCCGCAGCCGGGGCCGTGTGGCGGGCGCCCCTCCCCCGACGCGCAAAAGAGGGGCTCCTGCCGCGCCCCCGACCACGCGCGCGGCAGGTGGACCGGCTCCGCGGGGAGCTGCAGCGCGGCTGCGAGGAGGCCGCGCGCGCAGAGGGCGCGGGGGAGGGGGCGCCGCCGAGGCCGTCTCGAGCCGTGGAGACTGCACGTCGGGAGGTGTTTCGCCAGTTTTTTGCCTCGGGGGGGCCCTTCACGGGCCTCGGGACCGTCAAGAATCGGGCGAAGGGAACTATGCACATGCACCGATCCTGGCAAAGTCCATCCTTGACCCAGGATCGGTGCATATACCTTCCTAGCCAAGGTAGGAGGGCGTATGCACCGATCCTGGGCTCAGCATGGGCCTGGCCAGAATCGGTGTATGTGCATAGCTCTCTTTCCTCTAAAGAAAAGGTGCTGGATGAGGAGCCGGTTCCAGGGAGATGGGTCGAGAGATCTCCGGGGGTCGACGCAGTGACAAAATCATGACGTCGGGGGTCTGGGGGTGGGGGGCGCCCGCCCTGATGGGGGCTCCTTGGAGCCCCGCCCCCCCCCCCCCCGAGAGGGCGCGTAAGGGGGCGCCCTGGCGGGGGCTGCTCAGAGCCCCAGGTGATCAGGGCAAAGGCGCGGGCAGGTTTGCCCCCCAGGGAGTTAGTTGCATCGAAGGATTTGCCTCGATCACCAAATGCACCCGGGGGTGGACAGAACCCCCACCCTGACACGTCGATTAGAGAATTGTCCGTTTTCGGTTCTCGAGAGGAAGCCGCGGCCGTCGTTTTCCAGGCTTGCGCTCGCCAGGTTTAAGCCCGATGTCGTTTTCACTAAACAACGTTTTACTAAAGGGGGTTCTGTCCATTCCAGATGCACCACTATCCACGCACAGTGAAATTTTACTGTACCGCTGCTGCCTCGCGTCTTCCCGGAGCGGCACTTCCCCTTGGGCGGCGGCGGCGGCGGCGGTGGCCTGGCGTGGCGGCATCCCTCCTGGGCGCCCTCGCGGGGGGTGCTCAGGGCTCCGAGTGATCAGGGCGCGGCGCGCGGTCAGGGATGACTGACGTGTCGCGCCCTCAGTTTTTCGACAGCCCATGCGTGACGGCCCCAGAGACCTGTAACCAGTCAAGGTTCCGCTCCTGAGCATTGCCAGCTTCCCAGCTGATGGAAAAGGGAGCTCCACGATGTTGGTTTTGTGTTTGCTTGCGGAAGCTTTGAATTTCACCGGCAGTTTTGTTGTTTGGCGTCCAGCGGCTATCAGCGGCGAGTGCATGGGGGGTGAGTGGTGGATGGTTGGCGGTGTGTGTGTGTGTGCCCCTGTTTGCCGCCAACCGGTTGCCGCTGTCTACCGCTGCTCGCGGCTAATCCGCCAACATTTTGACATTTTGATTAGGCTAGGTTTCCAAAAGAGGAAACGTGAGCGAGGCAGCAGCTGGCCCCTGTTTTGCGCTCCCCGCTTCTGCGCCAGGCTCTTCTCGGATCTGGCCCCGCGCGGCCCAGAGGGCGGCGCGGGGGAGGGGTGGTGGGGGGAAGGGAAGACAACTTTGGAGAATATGTCCCCTCTCCCTCTCTCTTTCCCCCCGCCTTTTTTTGTATGTGTAGATGGTTTTCTATGTCTGTGTTGTTGTGTCTTCTCTGTAATGATGTCGCTCTCTCTCTCTCTCTGTTTCTCTTTCTCTCTCTCTCTCTCTTTCTTTATTTTGTTTGTCTCTCTCTCTCTCTCTGTAAGTCTGTTATATGTATAAGTATATGCATGTATGGGTACACACATATATCTATATATATATATACACATGCATATATACATTTATATGTGTATGTACGTGTGTAAATCTCCCACTATCTCTCTCTCTCTGTCTCTCTCTCTCTCTGTCGTTCATAGACCTCTCCCTCTCCAACACACTCATTGCAATTTTCTTCCTCCTTCGCTATGTTTCTCTCTCTCTCTCTCTTCTTCTGCCTCTCGTTCTCCCTCGCTCCGTTCAGATCGCGAGACAAAGTCAGCCGCCGCAAAGCAGTGCCTGGGCGCCAAGGTGCGACGCCTGGGCGCCCGGTGTTCTAAGGATGCGTGCCAGGATGCGGTGCCCTGGGGTCGAGTCCCTTTTTTGAGATTCGACTGGGCCTCCAGCACGCACCATGTGAGCATTCTTGCTGTAGGTTCGTGTCGTGTTGGCCCCGTCCCAGCTCTGGACGGCTTGGCCACGCCTCGATGGAACCAGGAGGCTGCGCGGGACACCACGGCGGCGGTGGTCGCGGCGCACGGGGCGGGCTTCCAGCAAGCGCTTCACGATGGCGACCTTGAAGCGGCATGGTCGAGCCTCAGCCTGGCCATGCGCACATGGCTCGCCTGCGCCTGCCTGCGACTCCAGCGCGGCCGCACGCAGATGCCGCAAGACGTGCCGAGCGGCCGCCCGCAGCCGGCGGGAATGGGGAGGCCGCCGACGTTGTAGCCGACGCTGCGTTGTTGCGGTTCCGTCGCCTCCGCGGCCTTCGGCACGATCAGGGCCGCCCCTCGACGGCCTCCAGGCGAGTGGCCCAGGCGACCCTCTGGGCCCTCCAGGCCGCGAACGTTGGACATCCCGAATGGTCACGTCAGTTGGCGGGTCTGCAGGAGACCGCGCCGCTTCCGCAGGCGTTGCTGGACCGCGCGGAGGCCGCGTGGCAGGCCGCAAGGGGGGACGCGAACGCGAGGCGGCGCAGCGCTTGGCGTGAGTGGGTCCAGGACGCCCTTGCAAATGGGCAGGGCCAGCAGTACCGCTGGATCTGCGGCGGCGGCGTGCTTGAGGCCGAGATGGTTCCTGATCCTGCGGCCGATGCCCCTGCCTCGCCTGAAGGCGCCGTGGGGCAGAGGTCATGGGTGCTCGCCCTGCGAGGAGGGCCGGCTTCGCAGCTGCGGTTCTTCGAGGGGCCGTGGCGTGGGCCCTGGCAGCGGCAGGCGGCGCCGGCGTTGGTGGAGGAGTGGATCCAGGAACTCGATGGTGTCCCTCCCTTCCGAGAGCGAACGCCATGGACGGCAGCCGCGGTTGAAGCTCTGCTCCGCAAGATGCCCAGGAGAAAAAACGCCGGGCCTAGACGCCTGGACCATCAGCGAGCTCCGGCTCCTCCTGGAGGCGTTCCACAGCTGGATCGCCGATTTGTTCGAAGCTGTGGAGGCCAGGGGGGCGTGGCCGAGCGAGCTCGTGGAGCCTGAGGGGCTACTCCTGCCCAAGCCTGGGGGCAGCACGGAGAACCCACAGGATCGCCGGCCGATTTGGCTGCCCCCCATCCTCTATCGGCTATGGTCCGCAGGCAGGGCACAGGTGTTTGCCCGCTGGCGGCTGCAGTGGGCTGGCGAGGACATGCGGTTAGGAGCGGAGGAGCTGGCGTGGGAGTTGGCCCTCGAGTTGGAGGCCGCCGAGGCGCTGTCCGAGAGCGTGGCGGGGGCGGCGCTTGATTGGCGGAAGGCTTACGACGGGGTCGACCTGTCATCCCTCCTGGGCCTCCTTGCGCGCGCGGGCGTGCCCGCCTGGATCGTCGAGCCGGCGATGGGGGCTTACCGGGCGCGCCGCTGCCTCCGCGTGGGCCGCGCGATCGGGGACGCGTGGGTTCCCCCTTGCGGGCTGCTGCCGGGTTGCCCGCTGGCGGTGTTCATCCTGAGCATCCTGACTTGGCCGTGGAGCTGCAAGGTCGGCTGGGTCGACAGCCGCCTGCGCCGCCGGGTGTATGTGGACGACCCTTTGGATGCGCGTTGCCTTCGCTGACGCCGCGGATGCTGCCGATGCAGTGGCGGGCGCAATGAGGGTCACAGACGCTTTCGAGACAGCGATGGTTTGGAGCTTCAACCGAGGGAAGAGCAGACAGTTCGCCAGGGCACTCCGGGGGTGGCTGGCTGAGCAGGCCCCCGCGCCGGCAGCGCGCCCGGATTCCGCGACTTGGGAGTCGCGGCCGGCGCCGGCCTTGCCCAGAGCTGTGCGGCGGAGGCGGCCTGGGTCCGCGCCGCCGCGGTCCGTTTCGCCAGGATCGGCCGCCTGCCGGTTGCCTTCGGCCATCGCTGCATGCTGGGGGCGGCGGCCAGCACCGCAGCTGGCCTCTACGGGGCGGCGCGCGGGCGCCCCCCCGCGAGGGAACTCGCTGCCCTGCGCGCGGCTGCGCGGGTTGTGGCTTGCCGCGGCGGCCTCCAGGGTTCAGCAGAGATCGTCTTCGGTGTCCTGAGCCCAAGCTGGCGGCTTGACCCGCTGGCCGTCGTGACCCTGGCGCCTCTGTGGCACGCGGCCAAGGCCATGCGCCGCGGCCGCTTCCCCGCCGCCCTCTGGCGGGGGGCCGCGGGTTCCATGGCGGCCGGGCGCGGCCGCGGCTTCGGGCCGCGGCGGCGGCCAGGAGCATGGCCGAGCTTCAGTCGGAGGTCGACATTGAAACTTGGGTTGGCGCGCCAGAGGCGCCAGCTGGCTGGCGGCCAGGGGCGCGGCCTGCAGGCGACGAGGCGGGTGCTGCTGGAGGCTCGGGCTCGCGAAGAAGCCCGGAAGCTGGCAGGGCGCCGGGCCACTTTCGGGCACGTGGCGGCCGGCGTCGACCGTTGGGCCACGTGGCTCCTGCAGCACGGGCGGCTCGCCGCTGACGCCGCGGGCGGTGTGCGCGCGGCGCTGTCTGGCAGCGCGATCACATAGAGCGGCCTCGAAGCGGGGCCGCCCGGCGGGCTGCCCGCGCCGCGGCGCGCCGCTGGAGGGCGCCCAGCACCGTTTCTGGGATTGCCCGCGCTGGGACTCAGCGCGACGCGCCGCCCTCGCGGCCACAGGGCTCACCCCGAGGCGGCGCGGGCTTGCCTGCCGCCAGAGGCGGCGCTGACAGGAGCCCCGCCGCGGGACGCGTGCTTGGCGGTTCTTGCCGACCAGGCGACGTGGCCGCTCCCAGTGCAGGCGCTGCCCGGCTTGGCCGCCGTTGCTGCGGGGGTCGCGGGCCCGCGGGCGCGGGCGTGGATCGACGGCGCTTGCGTGCACCCGGCCGACCCTCTGCTGGCCAGGGCTGGCTGGGGGGCGCGCGTGGAGCACCTTGCTGGCGTGGCGCTGGAGCGCGGGGGGCCGGTCGATGGCGAGCAGACCGCGCAGCGCGCCGAGCTCTTGGCTGCCCTGCAGGCGCTTGGGCTGGCCAGTGGGCCGGCGGCGGCAGCTGCAGGCGCTGGAGGGCGTCCAGCGAGCTCTGGCGGCGGTGGAGCTGCAAGGCCAAGCGCGACTGCACCGCGCCAGGCGGGCGCCGGGCGCGGCGCCGATGGGCGCCCCTCCGGCGCACCGCAGGCCGGCGACGCCCGGCGGCGGCCGGCGGCGGGCCGCCGCTGCAGGCGCCGCCAGCAGTGTCGCAGTCCCCGCAGCCCTTGCGGCACCCGCCGCGGCAGCCCGCGGCGGCGGCCGCCTGGGCGCTCTTTGGCGGGCGGTCCTGGAGGGCCCACGCCGCCTCGCAAGAGCCAGGCTGGGTAGCCTGCCTGCAGTGCGGCTGCTCGCCCATGCGCAGGCTGGGCGCCCGCCTTGCCGCCGCGCGTGGGCGCGCTGCTCCTGCTGCCGCCGGCGCGGGCAAGGGGCGGCGAGGGCGCTCGGCTGGAGGTGTTGCGCGCCCGCCTGGCCGCGCGGGTGGGCGCGCCTGAGGCGCCGAGCTAATTCGGCGCAGCGGCTGCCGCCCCTTTCCCCCCTCTCTCTCCACTCTTGCCTGCTTCTTCGCCACGGGGCCTCCTTCGCGCTTGTTTTTAAAAAGTGTCGCGTTGGCCCTGGCGGCGACCCCGCCGCGGTCAAGGTTGTCGAACGCCGCCGGCGTCCCAGAATCTGCCAATAGGGAGCGATCTGGCGACCGAAAAGTCGCCGATCGTTCATGGCTGAGCGATCCACGCGGTGGCCGAACCGGCCGCCGAAGTCGTCGCGACTTGCGAGCACCTGGGGATCTTGGACGGTCGTGGATCTTGCGGCGGGGTATCAGCCTGGAGTCTCGCCGGAGCAGCGCGCGCAGAATCTGACAGTTGCAGCGTGTGTGTGTGTATGTGTATGTGTATGTGTATGTGTGTGTGTATGCGTGCGTGTGCGCGCATGTGTACATGTTTTTGTTTACAGCGTTTTCCAAACGGGGAAAAAGCAGAACATTGGGAATCCGATTGTTACAGCGTTTGTGTGAAGCGTTTTTGATGCGGAAAAATAGAAGCCAGTCGTCGATCGCATCTGGATTCGGTTGCGCGGGCTCGACGGACGATCGGAAACGCAAAACGCTCCTACAGAACATGACCCCAGCGCCCCTAGCAGGCGCGCAGTGCATCACATCTTGGGGCGGCGGGGAAACGGCTTCAGTAGTCCCAGCGGGCCCCGTGCGTCCAGGATCATCATGTTCGAACGCGTTGAACTGTTAATGCGCCGCTGGTAGTTTCAACGTTGGGCCCCTTGTCAGTGCGATGCAGTTGGCCCCAGTGGTGTGCAATTGGTGTCTGATGGTGCCCTCGGGCGTCTCATTGAAACCCTCGCCTGCCTTTGGGCCCATTTCGGTGCCTATAGGACACCAGGTGGTTCATCGCGTTTACAAATGCATCCTGTGGGCCCCGCCTTCACTCGGCATTCTCGCCCAGTCGTTCCACTGGCCTGTCGCTGGTTCCACGCGGAGCCTGGGGACTCATGCACGCTCGCAGTGTCTCATTGTTTCCCAGGAGCTAATATGAATTATGTTTGCCTCCCCCGGGCTCCCATTGGAGCGGATGTTCTTCTCGTTGCGTCCGCGCGCCCCTTGCGTTCTCTGGAATGCGGTCGCGCGCAACGTCGCGCCCCGCTGCCTTAGGCCCGGGCGTGGCCGCGGAGGGGCCCGACCCTTGGACTGCCGCGGCCTGTTCTTTGGCGGCCGCGGGGCTCGGCGCCCTGGAAGCGGTCGCCAACGCGCGGCCCATGCTGTGGCGCCGGGAAGTCCACTGTTCCACAGTGCATGCATCCACGTCGGGCCCCCCAGAATACAGGTAAAACGTTTTGTTTATCATGTTTGAGCTTTCGATATTAAGATGGCTATTACGCATGCGTTTTTGCATCGTGCACGCGCGGGCGCGCGCGCGAGAGAGCAACGAGGAACATGCGCAATGTGCCACAATGCATCATGTCACGTTGAGGCCTCCATAATACGAGTGAAACAGCTGGTTTTCGCCATTCTGGGTTTTCGAGACTAAGATGGCTATTTTGTAGAAGAGCTTGCATGATGCACGCGCGCGCGAGCAGCGAGGGAAGCACAGCGTGCCAGAATGCATTATTCCACGTTGAGGCCCCCAGAATACAAGTTGGAAATTGGTTTTCACCATTCACTTTTTGAAATTTTAATGGCGATTCGGCATCAGTTGTCTCATTGGTTTTCGCATGGCCCGCGCCCGTGCGCGCGAGGAAACTACGTTGCGCCGCATTGCATTATTCGACGTTGAGGCCCCCAGAATATGAATGAAATGTGTCACTTGCAGGATTGAGTTGTCCATGAGACAATGGCCATTTTGCAAGCGCGTTTGCGCTGCGCGCTCGCACGCGCGCGCGCGCGGGCAACGAGGGAAGTACATTGTGCCACAATGTTTTATTCCACGTTGAGGCTCCAGGGATACGAGTGGAACGATTGGTTTCCGCCGTTCAGTTTTCGAAATTAAACTTGCAATTCGGTGTGAGCTTTTGCCTGGCTCACGCGCGCGCGTGCGTGCGCGCGCGATCAACCGGGGAACTTCATCGCGACGCAAGGCATAATTTCACGTTGGGTCCCCCAGAACGCGAGTGATACAGTTGGTTTTCATCAGTCTGGATTTTTGTTTTCTAAATTTAGAATGGTATTACGCATTGGACATTTGCATTGCGCACGCCCGCGCACGCGCGCGCAACGAGGAACGCAGAGTGGGCCACAATGCATGATTCCACGTTTTCGGTCTCCAGAATGCGAGTGAAACGGTTGGTTTTCCACCATTCAGTTCTCAAAATAGGATGGCTATTCTGCACCGTTTGCCCAAATAGGTTTTTGCATT